TATTGCCTGGCCAGTCCTTTTCTGCCCCATCTCCTGCCAGATGCTTTGTGTCTCACTTGCCTGCCGTAGTTTTCCTCCTACCCTTTGTTCCGTTTTCCTGCAACTTTCAGCCTCCTATGCTATTTCATTTTTTCAGTCTTTTCAAAGATTTTTTCAATCTAGGTTTAAAGAGGCTGTTAAGGCCTTTCAGGTATTGGTGCTTTTCAAGTCTTGAATGAGGTAACACATAAATCTGGACAATTCTAGGTTTGAATTGGAGATTTAAAGTATTATCTTGGGGGTGTGTGTGGGTGTGTGTGCAGCGGTCCGGAATCTTCCATGCTTTCCACCATTTAGGGCTCTTTTCCGTAAATTCCTTAGTGCTCTGATTATGTCATGATTGACTGATGGCCACCCTGCAAGAAGGAAGGTTTTTCACTTTCTTTGAATGAAGAGGTCAAATGAACTCAGTTTCTTTTACACTAAAATGTGCAAAACTTGTCTGGTTTGTTTTCATTTTTTATGAAAAGCATGGAAAAGCTACAAAAAGTACTGCACAAGTTAACAATAACTTTAGGTAGTCTCTTTTTTGTAGGGCAGAGTTCAGAAGCGCACCACTAGTATAAACAGCTCTCCCATTCTCTCTTTTCTTTGTAATACTTCTCCGAGTTGATGTCTGGGATAAGGTGTGGCCATGTCTTGGCAGAATTTCTAGTTTTTACTTGTTTTGGTGTGTTGTCAGGAATACGCTTTTATTGCCTAATACTGAAATTGCTGGTTGGAGGAGCTTGTCATCTGTCTCTTGTCACATGTCATTATAATTTAGCATTCTGACTTTGTAGTCTTCCTTGCTCACTTCATAAGCCTTAACTGCTTCTCCAGTAAAAGGCTGCCTTGGATGACCAAGGCAGGTGAAAGAGCCTCACTGACTACATGCCCTGTTCCTCTCTCCACCCTTCCTTATTGCCCCAGCCCAACAGCATAACTGAGAAATTCCTTTGGGAAAGGTTTAGCTTGAATCTCTGCAGTTGCGGCAAATTCACATGATTCCTCTAATGTAAGAATCAGAACGTAAGAATCTCTAGATAAGATGCTGTGGTAAACAAGTCTGCTAGAAGTCGTCTTCATTGCATCTCAAATGAAGAATGACTACTGTTCAGCTGATAGCAGCATACTTTGTTTAAGTTCCTGTTGTTAAGGATGGCATAAATGTCTGCCAAGAAAGGTAACTGCCAACAAAAAAAAGAAGATTGCCCCTCTTGGGACATGATGGTAAGAAAGTAGGCTGTTTTGTTTTCTGACATTTTCCTTCAGCACTTGTGATTCAGAAGATTTGTGTTTTCTCATACACCAGGAATTGAAACTAGTCTCATGAAAAAAAAGCTTGAAATGCCATCTCTTAGTGAAAGACAGTTTTTCAGTGATTCTCATTTTAAGGGTTGGTTTCAAAAAGCAAAGCCTCAGGGTTAAAACAAGCATTTTTACCTCTTTTTACATATGCTTCCAGCATCTAAATCTACTCAACAAGCATGCAGTTTTGCAGGTATCTTACTTTCTTTCCACTGAATGTGAAAAGCACTGTGTGAAGTGCCATCTATGGCATATAATTGATATGGACGCTCTAAAAGACTCTCTTCTGAGACTATTTTTGTTGTTATGTTTCAAATTAAAGGCAATCGAGTATTTATAGGAAAAATAAATACATATGCCTTTTGCAGTGTGTTGTAGCTGAAAATTAAATATTTTTCTACTAAAATTTTGGCATACTTCCTGGAATCACTGAGCTTTCAGTAACGTTTTTAGTTAATTCTGCAGCCTACTGTTGTATTCGCCACAGCTGACATGAGCTTAGAGAGTTTGTCTTTATTTAACCTTAGAGAGGAATCCCAGGCTTGCTCTGCTGTCAGCAGAGCTGTTGGGAACGACCTGCTCTAGACCACAGTGGAGAGAGTGCGGGTAGGGTCCCTCTCTGAATTGTGCCTGCTACAACCTCGCTACATTGGTGATACTGGAAGTTCTGCAGAACAAGGCTCCTTAACTGAAGTTAGCTTCTGTCAAGTTCTTTCATTATTTTCTGTTTTCTTTCATTATCTATCCTCTTCCTTTGGCTAACATCTTGAATCCTTTTGTTGATGTCCTGCATCCCACTGCTTCTCATGATGTTTGAAAGTTAAGGGCACTGATTAGGACATTCCTTTTCTACCTGAAAAATACATATATCAGTGTAGATGGGGTGAAAACCATAAAAGGCCCTGATGAGAATAAACATACTTGGCTCTTTTGGGACTTAAAATTGCATTGGGTTGGCAGTAGAGGAGATGCTTCAGCTAAAAGTCAAAGCTTTTAAAGACACTGATTCTGATCCTCTGCTCCATTGCACATTTTTCACACTGATGTAGCTCCACAGGGCTGCTTTGTCTCTTGTCAGCTGGCAACAAGTGAGGAGAATATAAACGGCCTGTGGCATTAGGACAGTTTGATTGGTGTTTTTATAGTTACTTGTGTAGAATAGTATTGTTGATTAGGTTCACTATTATCCAGCTAACTATTAGCTACTACAGTTTTAAGGCAGTGTTTACCCCCAAAAGCTAGTATTTGCTATGTCAAGAGTTATTACTAGTATTGGTATAACCTTAGCGTTAGCAATATTTCTGCCAGGAAATAAATGCTTGTCTTTATTTGTCAGTAAACATTGGCATGTAAATAACATGAACATTATGCATTGATTTCTATGGATTCATGTCTCTAGAACTGCCTAATATTTATCTTCCCCTACAATAAGAAATGAGATAGAGTTGAACTTGATGAAGTTGATATTCCAGTGTTAGATTTATTATTTGAGTGTGTGAGAATTCTTGGAAATGTGTATCTGATTAAACTGAGCCTCATTTCGGGTGTACATTTTACTAATAGTAGAGGGAAATTTCCATTGTTAGAAAATCTGGAGGCTTCCTTTCATGAGAAGTGCTCTGAAAATGAAGAAGTGTGATGCTCGTCGGAGATAGGAAGTATTAATCAGCCTAAATCGCTGTGCAGATCTGTAGGAGTTGATTTGTAGCCAGTATCTGCAACATAAACTGCAGGGTTCAGTTTGCAAACACTGTTGTGAACCAGAGCCTGCAGGGTTTGCCGAGCTCCGGTTACTGTCATTGCTCCTAGTACGGCTTATTATCCTGTCACAGAAGATGTAAGAAAATCCATCTCTCTGTTTTAAACATGATAAGCCTTTGTCACCTACAATGCAATTAATGTTAAAAATAGAAGAGTGCTGATGATAAGATTGTGACTTGCAGGCAACGAGCCATTGTCCAAGCACCAGAGACTTATCTGGAGGGCCAGTCAGCCTACAGAGTTTGCTGTCAGTTTGCTGATTGCCATTTCTCTCAGAGTTTGATGAAATATTCATGTCTTTGCTCTGCTCTCTACAAGCACTATTGATTTCTTGTATAAACGCAGCTATATTTAGTCTAGACAAATGGAATGTGGATTGCTGCTGAATAAATGGGATGAAAGGCTGGGGGTTTGCCTGTCCGTTTCTCTTGGTCTGTGGCAATTATTTATAATCAAGAGTAGTTTTTGTAAGTTAAAAGTGATTTTTTATAATTTAGTGATTAGTCTCAGAACAAAAGTAAGCACTTAGACACAATCATTCTGTTGGGATAGCAGGTTAAGAAGGCAAATTATGCTCTGAGGTTTACAATCACAGTTACTAGGATTTTTTTTTTAAAAAGGTCCCAGATAATTGTATGTTTCCAGAAATTTGAGAAGAAAATAATGGGATCAGTAGAAGAGATTTGGTGCCTCATCTCTTCTTTTTATAAAACTTGTTACTAATACATTTGATCACGCAGTTAGAATTCTCTCCATTTGCTGCAGTTTCAACTTTTGCTGTTTCATATTTACCGCTCCTGCTTGTTACAATATTTCTGAGTCATTTTGGTTTTCTCCTTGAAAACAAATAGCAGAGCAAAAGGAGAAAATACGCTGAAAATCTTGTTCCCTAGTCATTTCCCACAGCATGTTTGTTTTCAGTTAATAATAATAATTTCCCTATGAAGATAGTAGAGCAGTAGGAACGGGAGTGAATGTGTTTGTGTTCCACTGTCCTCTCGTGGATGGAATCAGAACTGCTGAGCTTTAGGAGAGACAGTTGCTATTTATTTTCCTCTTGTAGAAATGTTACTTGCTAGTTTTTTGTTCTTTTAAAATGGATAGTCACACTCAAGTCTCTTCACTAAGTGTGAAAACCTGAGCTGTAAATGTGTTGTAGTGAAAATCATCAAATCTCTCTTTTATGCTGCTTTTTAGTCCCTTCCATTTAAATAAGGAGCTAGAAAAGCACAGGAATACTTTAATGCTGGATTAACAATATATACCATTGCTGCAACAAATTGGAATAATTCAAATGTTTTCATTTTCTTACAAGTCATATGCAGTGTATTATGTCTAATCCACTCCAGGCATGATGGTTACTTTTCAAAAAGCTGTATTAAAACTCGTCTTTTTTTGTGTCAAATTATTTTTCTGCAACTATGTTATTCCTGTATCTCTACCAGTTATATTTACATGGGGTAGCTGTTCACGTGTAACATCATCCTCAGAAAATGTACATGCTAGCTTTGGAAAATCTCTTGCAGTGCAGTGAGAACTGAAGTCCTTCATCTTACACTGAAGAAGCACCCTGAGTGTTTATTGTGAAGCGTTAATGGTGACTACGAGATTCTCATAAATATTGCTTCCTTAGGCTGTGACATGGTTTTAGAACTGGGTTGCTTGATCGTCTGTTTAGCAGAATATTAATCTGAGAGTATTTTTGCTGAGAATGGAAACAAAATGATAAAACTATTTGTAAAATCTCCAGTTGCTAGTAGGGATGTCTGAAGTTTCCATACAGCATGGATTGCATTAGTGTTTTGTTAGTTCTTTGAGTGAAAATGGTCTTTTCCCCTGTAGGAATGATCTCTGTTGTCCTTCTCCAGTTATATTTAATATATACATGTTCTGTTGTTTTCTTCCCACAGTGGATGTGAAGTCGGAGGTTCCCGTGGGATTAGAGCCTATCTCACCATTAGACTTGCGAACTGATCTCAGGATGATGGTTCCCATGGTGGACCCAATTATGCGTGAAAAGCAGCTACAGCAGGAACTACTTCTGATCCAGCAGCAGCAGCAAATTCAGAAACAACTTCTGATTGCAGAATTTCAGAAGCAGCATGAAAACCTGACCCGCCAGCATCAGGCCCAGCTCCAGGAGCACATAAAGGTAGCAACATTTTTCATATATCCCTTACTTTATCTGCAAACTGAATATGCTTATACAGACATGAAAAGGGAACGTGCCTGAAAGGTTCACTGTGACTGAGAGATAGTGTTTGAGTGCTTATTTCTCTCTATTTGAGTGATAAAAGGCCTTTCAAGCAAAACTGCTAGCACCTAGCAGCAAGTTGCTCACAGCAAACCAAGACTGTGAGAATCATCAAGCTCATGAAGCCACCACCTCCATAGAACATCAAACTATCTATTTTACAAAGCTGGATTTTCAGTCAGACTTCAATATGTCTATATTTTCTGTATGTGCAGTTTTGGGGGTATCAACAGACTGCTTTTTTGGGCCATTGCTTGAGTTTGTGCCCACAAATCAAATTGATAGGCAAGTGTGTAGTATTTGCATTTGTAAAATAAAGGCAAGTTGTGAAAGTGTTGTGTTTTCACTCTTCTCTGAGCTGCCTCATATAATGTAAAAAGAAAATTATTCATGAGATTACATGCACTATGATAGGGTTGCTGTAATCGATTTTGACTGGGAATTTATGATCTTGCCTTTCTTTTCATTTTTTTGGTCTCATCTATTTGCTATTCTGCTACTGTGCTAAGCTTCCGCTCGATGAAGCTGACAAACGAAGCAGAGCACAGCAGCCAGAGCTGGGTGATGGACTGGCAAAGAACCCGGTGCAGTTTCCAGGCATTTTTGCCAAAAGAGAAGGAAGTGAAACCAGAGCAGCAGGCTGCTACCTGACGTTAAGGTTCATTTTAGTGACAGCCAGTAATGCATTATCCTGCTTAAAAGACTGGGGAAGGTCGGTTAAGAGATGAAAAGAAGTCTAAGCACAAAAGCTGATATTCAGTTATTCAAGGGGGTTGTGTTAGCCAGGGCTGACCTAGAAAACAGTGCAAACTGCACTTTCTCATGTCTTTTTGTTCTGTGCAAGTTACAACAGGAACTCCTAGCCATTAAACAACAGCAAGAACTCCTTGAAAAAGAGCAGAAACTGGAGCAGCAGAGACAAGAGCAGGAACTGGAGAGGCATCGCAGGGAACAACAGCTTCCTCCCCTCCGAGGCAAAGAAAGAGGCCGAGAAAGTAAGAGCCAATGTACCATGAATCCTAAGAAGAAATTGATCTGTTCCCCTTCGCCTTCTCCCAGTGTAAACGGATGATGAACAGGAACCTGAAGCCTATTATTGTGTGAAATACGCAACTAGAGAAGTCGAGGCAGTGCTTGCAGAAAGGCAGGGCTGCCTGTTGCATCCGCAGAAACACATTGCTGGTTTGTGTGCAGACTTGGAGGACTGTAGGAAAGCTCATTTTGACAGGCCTGTGTATATGCCTTGCAGGAATTTAGCTCTTTTTATAAAGGAGGAGGGAATTTGAAAGCCTAAAGCTCCACTTGAGAACTTATTTCTGAAGAGCTTATTTCCCAATTCAGAAATCACTACAAAACAGCAAAAAAATAAAATTACTTGCTGATTAACTAATTTTTGTTTTGTTTAAAGAGTGAAAATATAATGAAATATTTAAGAATGTCTTTGGCTGACACTTCTGAATACTTTTTCAAACTGCCTTGTGTTTATTCTTGAGGCCATTCGATCAGGCCCAACCAAGAGTTATTTCTAGCTCATACATAGCTCTAAGGCAAATGACAGATAGAAAGGATACCTTTGGAATTTGGTGCACACTAGGGGGAGACAGATACAAATAATTCTCCTTACAGAGGTCAGTTTAAAAATCAGATTGAAGTACATTGTGAAGGTATTCAAAATGAAGCTGCCAGGAGCAGATATTGTTACCTGCCCTGCTAAATGACGACGAGAATTAACTGACAAAGATCAAAGCAAAATAAGAGCTGTATGTTATGCTCCTGCATTTTTGTCTTGGGTGTGGTTCAACAGTTATAGGTGTACCATATTGTAGGCTTCAGAAATTAAGGTGTCCATGGTGCTTCCAATAATTTGGTGAAAGCATCACCAGCCTGTTGACCCAGCAGCGGCAGAGTGGCAGAAACTGCAGGAACAAAAAGTTCCTCTAAATGGTATGAAAAATCAGCCTCCATGTAAACAGTTGGCCTTTATTAGTGCTCCCACCAAAGGAAGAGCATCAATGTGAACTCACTGGTTCCCTTCTTAGTTTGGCTTGCTGGGTGACTGTTCAGTACGTAGAAGACAGACAAGCAACACTTGTGAACCCCCAGCCCCAGCGTTTGCTGCTATTGCTGATCTACTTAATGAGTAGAGGAGGGAAGGAAGGTGTGGGGAGGGGAGTTAGGGTCTGAAGCTGAGGGGTAGCAGAGATATTTTATGGGGACTAGGTCACAGGGGTACATGCTCACCAGCTAGCTGTGCTGTGTCAAGTTTGGGTAACAACTTATAGTATCAGCACGCCTTAGTGCTGCTGCTTTCAAAGAAGTTTTTTCTTCCCTTTTTTGTCACTGTTTATGGAAAACTGGAAGAAGCTTTTTCTTTTTCTTGCCTTTTGTTATGAAGAGTATTATGGCTGTGAGTAAAGAAGCACGTCCCATGCTGCAAGTAGGAATTGGCAGTTTAACTGGACATTGGCACGCCCTACTTGTACTGTATTGAGCTAGTCACCGAGAGAGGTCAAAACACACTGTCTTTCTGTCTTTTCAGTCTTTCTGTTGTTTCTTTGTCATAAGAATAGAGTTATCAATTAAGACTCATGTTTCAGACTGCAGTCTGTCTTCCAGACATCACAGGTACAGGCTCTTGAATAAAAAGGCTCACTACTGCCTCTTTCCGCAGCGTTCCACTCGTAACCAAGACTGTGTTCAGAGAGCAATTTTGCCGTGCTATTACTGTTACTTTACTGAAAGAAAAAACATTTACCGCAAACTCAAAGTGACCTTTTTCACTATCTTTCAAGTTCTATCCTTGGTTTTGTATCCGGGAACTATTAGGAAATAATTTAAATTCCTTAGATACATCTGGCCCTGGATAAATGGCCTAATATACTGTTGAAATATTCCTTGTGACTTCACTGCATTTCTAGGTGATGGCCAACTTCAGTCTTCTAGAGAGAAACACTTAGTCCAAATGTTACCTCATTTTGACTGATTTCCACCAATATTTTTTATAGTTTACAACACTTCTAGCAGCAAGACACGGGGGTTTTTTTGTATTTGGTTTTTTGTTTTCTTTAAAAATATAATTTTTAAAGTAAATATGTGTTTAATTCTGTGTGTCTTAGGAGCAGTGGCCAGTACAGAAGTGAAGCAGAAACTTCAAGAGTTCCTACTGAGTAAATCGGCAACAAAAGACTCTCCATCAAACGGGAAGAATCATTCCATCAGCCGCCACCCCAAGCTCTGGTACACGTATGTTCGTTATTAAGCTGTTTCCTTGCCTCATTGAGGTATCTGTTAAAACTTGCCAGAATGCTTCTCCACCAGGGGTATGAAGAGTCTGCCTCTGGAAGAAGACAGGAATTCAACCATGAAGTTAGCAAAAACCTGAAGTGTAATATTTCAGGTTGACTGAAGAGTACTTGGTGTTCAGTTATGAGAGCTATACAGAACAACATGCAGAAATTCGTATAAACTTTTTATTTCAACTGCTTCATCTCTTGATGCTATCACCAATTTTACAAGTATACCTGTCAATTTCCCAAGTCTCTTCAATTTTTTTGCAGTTAGAAACACTTTGTGTTTGATCTACTTGGATTTCCAGTCAATCACAAAACTAGTTTCTTCTTGAACAGTTGCGTCTTTCCAGTGAAGTTACTTGAATGGTGTACATAACTCACGAGGATTTTGAGAGGGATAGTGGTCATTTAACCTAATCTGATGGATTTTAGTATCCAAAACTGCATATTCTTACCATGCCTTGGCCTTGATAAGAATCTGCTTAGACCATTGAAACAAATTATTTCGTTGAGTCCTGTAATGGGCCTATCAACATTTTAAGAGTTTACTGGGTTTATAGTTTTTACAATTTTTTTTTTAATTAATTCCTTTTTCATTTCCTTATTACAACAGATACATACATTAATCCAACAAAATAAACTCTGGCTGCATTTCTGAAAGACTTGACCTTCAGTGGGACAAACAGAAATGCATATGGTACAACAGATTTCCGCCTAGTGCTTGTTCTTTTTAAAAAGCATTACTGAAGGCTGCCCTTGGAGTTCCCACTCTGAGCTAATCAGAGCATTGTGGTAACATGATGTAATATGTAGTTATGTTGTTTCTGGTGGAGATACAATACTTAATAATATTTTTTTCCAATAATGTGTAAAATTCACTTGAGTATGTAAGATTTCTGGACCAATAATCTGATCTTAGTGCTGAGTCTTCAGATGAGTGAGAACAAGGAGCTCTGCAAAAGATGTCTTTGGCCACACTAGGGAAAGCTATGCTTCCTCTCACAATATTAGTGTCCCTTTTGAGAGAGACATATTTTTGATTAACCACACTACATTGGAAAGATAGGGAGAGACTCTGTAAAAGGCCAAGTAAAATTATGTTTAGATAAACACATGAAATAAACATGAAATTGATAAACATGAAATTGAGAAAAATTATTTCCCTTCTTTCCCTCTCTTCCCCTCTAAATAGAAAAATTGACAAAAAAAAAAAAAAGAGCCCTGTCTTGAGCCAGATGATGCAATTTCTTTGCAATTTGCAGTTTCCGTGTTCAGAAAGATCTGCCCACACAATTTCTTTCATTCAGCAGTTGTCAGAAAGCACTCTTCAGCTTGGAGCTTCTCTGTTGACGTGTGTGCTACGTGCTGCAGTTGTGTGCTCACAGAACTTACAAACTGAACTTAAATACAAGGTTTTATTCACCTTGTCCACTAAATAGTTTGTCTTTTTTTTTTCCCCCTCCACCCCCCAACAGATAATAATAACTCAGTATTTCTGGTTAGTTTTATACAAGCCCTCCTGCCCTGAAACCCCCCACATTTTGATAGAAGAAACTGGATCAATGTACATCTATTTGTATGTAATAAACAAGTCTTAAATGTCTTTTGCTGTGCTGCAGCTGGTTCATATTAAAATGCAACAATCTAAAATGGTCAGTTCTCCAAACTGGTGACAGATCCTGTCTGTAGGTCAACATGACTCTTATCCTATGTGACTTCTATAATGAGTGCAAAAAGAGCGTTCTTGGGAATCCCGAGGAGTTCCATAACTTACTGTAAAAGTGAAATTGGTTACATGAGCCTGTGGTTTGTGCACACTTAGAGGAACAAGAACGTAAACACAGCTGAGACGTGTACAACATGTGTAGATAGTTACTGCTGGTCACCTGAGTGACTACTAATTTGTGACCTCTCTGTGTCTGCTGCAGGGCTGCCCACCATACCTCACTGGATCAAAGCTCTCCACCCCTGAGTGGGGCCTCGCCACCGTACAAATACACTTTACCAGGAGCGCAGGATGCCAAGGATGATTTTCCACTTCGTAAAACGGGTGAGTTAGCATAGTTTATTCGAGCCCCTTATCCAGCAATACTCCCACCCTTTATTTTAACCAGGCTTTCCATCAGTAAGGCATGTCTCATAATCCACAAAGCCTGTTCAGGATGATATTATGAGTAAGTTCAAAGATCCAGATGGCATCTTTACAAGGTTGGACTGACCACATGGTATCAAGAGTCGGTGTTTCCCAGTGCTAACAGCTAGTGCAGGCTTCAATCCTGATACATTTCATTTCTGAACAGACCATCATTTCACGGATCTTTTATGCCATTGTTTTCTTTGTGTCAATATTACTTCTGGGCTTAAGATTTCTCTCTCTCTTTTGCATGTTAGATACAGTATCTGTCTTCGGATGGTATGCTGTTTTTAGACTATGTTTTTGAGGACATTTTGAGGGGAGTTCATAGAAAGAGGAGGAATTGAATAATACTATGTTTTGTGTCACTGGTTGTCAAAATTTGTATTCATATGCGCATACACACCTACATTTGTGTGTGCCTTTTACACATCGGAATGTGTAATATTGTACAAAAAAATGTTCATTTCATAGTTTCAGAATGTTTCAGAAGATTTAGCAAATGAGCCTTTTTTCTTGAAAGCAGGTGGACTGTATACTTGACTTTTTCTGCACCATAAAGAAAGTTAGAAGGATGGTGGTGGAGTCCATGTGACTTGCCTCAGGTCCTTGGTGCAGTGACCGGTATCCAGGAATGCGGGGAGACACTAAGAGGAGGGAAAAAAAAAGAAACGAAAACATTAGATCGCTTATTGCATGAGTCTGCTGTTGAGTGATATAGTTACATTCAGAGGGAAAGTCTGACCCCCTACTGTGCTAACAGCCTTTGAATGTGATTTAGCCACTGGGAGATTGAAAACTTACTGCAAAACTGGTACTGACTGAAAAGAAGTGGCATTTGAACCAGCATACATTCAGAAAGAAAATCCAGTCTGTATCTAATACTTTGGGGCAGACTCTATAAGCTCATATTATATCCCCAAATATTTTTGAAGGAATGAAAGCAGGAAAAGCAAAATGCTAATTTATTCTAGCTGAATTACTCTTTGTACAATATGGTGGCAATATAACAAGATTCTATAAAATCTTGTACAGGCTATTCAGTCACAATAAGCCCTTATGTGGTTCTCTGCTTAATACCACTGTACAGCTTATATTTTCTATGCCAAGAGAACATACATTTTCATTTTTTAAACAAAAGGATACACTCTACATCTTCTAAATGGTGTGAATTCATCTACATGTTTTTGAAATGCAAGTTTTAATTTTTCATCTGTGTTTATATATCTTAAGTGTTATGATTGATATTTATGATGTGTCAGACTGTTGATCTGTAAAACAAAACATTTTCAAACATTGTAACAGTAAAGTTCTCGTGCAGCTGCTAATACTTTTATATCTCTGTGGGGGTTTCAAAATATTCCTTAATTCAATTCCCATTGTCTGCATAAGAGGACTATAATATAATTAAATCCAGATGTTTTCTATATGTTATTCCAAATATTTGGGCATGCAATGCATCAGTTCCAAAATGGAACAAAGGACATGATGACTCTCTGAAAAGATATCTACAGAACAAATAGACAAATAATAATATAATCATTAGCATAACCGTTTCTATGACATTTACATAGTGATTCAGATAAGTAAATATAAATGAAGTGTACAGCATGTTGTATGTTAGCAAGGGAGTATATTTGATAGCTCTCCACATCCGTGAAAATAGCAACTGTTAAATAACGTCTTTACACGTCCGATCTCACTGTATGCTAGAGTTGTTTCATTCCAGCCTTTAGCAACTTCTCCACAAAGGTTGCTATGATTGTTCATCAGGTTGAGACTAAAAGCAACAGGAACCAGATCGACACAAGTCAAATGACCCTAAACTGGTCTGGGTGGTTATAGGGCTATCCTCCAGGCAGAGGGGACATTGTGGAGCCTGTGTCATCCTCATGGGACCTTACTAGACAAAGATGTCCCACGAACACTCATGTATATGGACAGGCTAGGAGCCTGCAGAAATCTGACCTTTGCCATGAGGGGTGAACCTCTTTTCCTTTCCTTTCCTTTAGGCTATGAACGCTTATTGCCGCTGGCTCCTGGTAAACCCTCTGTGGTGCTGAACCTGCATGAAGTCAGCAATTCATATGAAAGCAAACCTCACATTCCTTTCAGCCTTAAGAAAGGAATACCTGTTGTGGGTTTTAATCACGGCTTTGTTTTGCTTCTCAATTTCATATTTCGTATTCGTACTATAAATACAGAAGTATCTTTCTCTTCTCCAACCTTAATATAATGCTCTTGGAAGATAATTCTGGTTGAACCAGTTACTGTAAGATCAGATTTAATGGGCAGCAAAGCTGAATGATTCTCTCCTGACATCCTAATGTGTTTTTCAATGCTGAGGGAACAGTGAGTGTCACACAGGCATTGTAAATCATGAGCTTTGCTTGCTCACATTCTTGTTCAGTAATCTATTTAACCTTTGCTTAATTAGTCCTGGAGTGGCATCTCCATATTAATCTTAAAAATTAATTCAGAGTCTGTGTTAAAGAGGAAAATATTCTGTGCAACTTTTCTACCATCTAGAATGATGGGAAAGACAGATGACTAAGGAGACACTTAACAGTCTTGCTGCTTGTATGTTTACAGTTAGGTACCAGAGTTAATATCTAGTGCAGTGACTATAGCTACTCAGTAATTCTCTCAGCCATGCGGATTATTCCTTTCCATACAAGATGCAGCAGAACTTGTCAGCAGCAGGCTTCACACAGCTTAGCTGCGTGGAAGGTTGGGACTGTCTAGGGGCTAGAGGCCAGGATATGCTGCTCTTTGCACAGCTGCATTCAGATGCTCGTGTGTTGACAGACTTTCAGAAGAGCAGAGCAAGGGGAGCTGTTGCTTAATTGGACAGATAAATATACCATAAAGCGAAGCTGCACATCTGTAACTGAGAGTTAGAATTTAGCCTAAACAGCGTAAGATCAAATTTTAAAAATGCCCACAACTTTCACCATGGATACCAGTCCTAACGTGTGTTTTCTGTAAAGCACCCAGAAGCCTGAGCAGCACATGGCTCATTAACTTTCAATGAGACTAATGCATCTAAATTACCCAGAGAGGTTTGAAAATTCCTCCCCATTACTGAACATTTTTGAAATTCATACTGACTGTTTTAAGAGTTCTGATGGGAGCTGTGCACTTTTGACAACCCCATCATTTAACATGGGGAACTTTTGATTGCTGATCTCCAGAAGTCTATCTATCCAGGAAAATATTTCTTTAATGAGGGTGCTGTAGAACTAATGAAAATGTAGCAAACAACATGGGTTTGATAAGGTAGAAGTTCATTTCAAAGGGAGTTTTCTTTGAGTCTTGGGTGTTTTGGTTTCTTTTACCTTGTCTAAATAAATGCAGAAATTCTGGCAAATGGCTATAACATTTGCCTTCTCTTCAACCTGTAGCATTTTCTGTGAACAAGTGTTGATGCAAACCAGCAAAAGCCAGTAAATTTCAGTAAAGATGAGCTCTCTAACCAAAGCTGCATGCATTTTTAAAATGTTGCTATAGATGGAATTTCTGCATTTTATCTCATGTTTTGGCTTTTGTTGGAAGAAATTCCCGGGGTCATCATCATATCAAGCATAAACTGCTTTTTCTTTCCTGAGTTTAGCACAATCATGGCAGGATGGGAATGTCAATTAGTATTTCTATTTATTTTGGGTTTATGCCTGTTGAATCTTTCCTTGCTGATGGAGTTGTAACCTTACAACTTGCATTTTGCTTCGGGATATGCAGATCGCTCACGATAGTACTGCTTCAGAAGATGTTTGTATCTTGCTTTCCAAAAATTAGAAGCATGCTCAATTGAAATACAGCATGGGTTTTTTAAAATAGCAAATAGTCCAAGGTTCTTGCTTGAAGGGGCGGAAATTATGTAATTTCATACAGGAAAAAAGAGGAGATGAAGGATTGTTTAATATTGTGATGAAAGAGAGGAAGGAGGCTGTGCCGCACTGTCATGAAGATCACTTTGTAGAAACCATATTAGGTTAACCTGATTAGGCAGTAGAATAACAGCAGAGCTCTTGCGTAATGAGACGGAAAGATTCCTGAATGAGAGCTCAGCAGATGTAATTTTTTAGAAGAAGAAATGAGTTAGAATATTTCCTTACCATTATTCTTTCTGCACTTAGTGACTCAATAATTCACTGCTGCAGTCGACACTGAGAAGAAAAATATTTTGTGAGTGAAAGTTTTTCTCTTTCTCTTTTGTGCCACCAAATTCCATTTCTGTTTGTATTTTCTAGGAAAACACACTCCTGTGAAGTAACAGTGTATGAAAAGGCTGGTTTTCTTTTGGTCTTTGGTAAAAAAAAAAATACTTAGAGGATGAAAACCCCTCAATTACCATGTCTGCCAAAATGAAGAAGTCAAGCTCAGTAGAGAGAAGCGTCATTTTTTCTCTGAATTTATGAGTGAGGACAATAAATGGGAGAGGCACTTTGTTTATTGAAGCAGGGACGCAAGGCAAACATGATATGATTCTCCGCATTTTATCCCATTTTTCATGGATGCCAAACATTCTTGCCTCTCATAGTCCTTGTTTTCCTGGATGAAGGAAGGGTCTTGACAAATTTGGACTAGGTGATGTGCCCAAAGGAAATCACCAGTGCTTATGAGAGAGGGGGGTGGACTAAAAAAGTGTCCTTATTCACAGCCCTTCTTTTTCTTGACTTCTCTTCCCATTAATCACCAGACCTTTTTAGCCTCTAAATTCACTATCAGTAACTTGAGAGGGCATAATTAGTTATAAGAAGTTTTAGAGAAGAAACTTTCACTTGCAATTGAAGAGTGAATCTGAAGCAAACCGTAGTTAACAGCTTCTTCTGTGTTCATGTAATGAAAAGGCCAAAACAGAGTTCAGCCCCTGGGAGCCAGCAGCTCTAAGAGGATGTAATCCCATCATAGCTACG